TGTTCTAGGAAACAACACAGAATTACATTCCTACAACAGCTGAAGTTAATAGAGACTGAAAAGTATCTTCTTTAGAGAACCTTATGGTTAGAAAGCTTTGAATGAAAATTACTGGGTCGTTAGAAATAACAGTTTCTACAATTCAGTACTTTTCATAGGAAGCTAGGACACAGCCAAGCTTCCCTGAGGAGAATAGTCCTTTTGAGAAAAATAGTTATATTCCACATGGAGATAATGGATGTCCAAATTCCACAGATAAGCTTCACCTCTCTTGTGTAGACCAAGATTTAAGCTCCACAGCAAAAGCTTTTCAAATTGCAGTTTTATTTGTTTAGCACACCTACATCATCCAGAATTAGACAAGCACATTAACTGAAGAACACGAGAGGCACAACAAAAATGCCCATATTTAATAAACCTTCTGCCAATCCCTGAGTGACCTTCCTGAAAAACCGATTTAAGAGTAGCATTCCATTTCTGTTCACTAGTGCCAGCTTGTATTTATACAATGACTTTTCCTAGTGTCCCCCACCACCACCACCAAAATCCCATAGCCACCTAACTATTGCCTCTGAAAAGGATTTGCATATGGAGAGACAGAGGCTCAAAATGGTTAAGGTGACTTGTCTGAAGACATCTGCAAACCTCAGGCATCAGGAATAGAATTTTCTTCTCTTAGTCCAAAACTCTAAGCATTTCAGACAGGGGACAGCTGCCCAGTATAACCCCAGCTGCTACTGAGTATGACTTTTGGAACATAAAGAAAGCTTACTCTCTTAATACACACTAAGAGCAAAGCAGTGCTTCCATGCTTTCTGCCCTCTTGGGGTTATGAGTCTGGTAAGTTCCCCAGCAAGATCAAAGCATTTTTCAGGCCAACCAATACTTTCCTCATCATGGTCTCTTTCATTAAGGAACATGCTTTACACCACAAGAGCTATGGCCACAGTGCTGTCCTGATACAATTAACATGAAATGACAAGGAAGATAACAAGCAAAGCAGTTCTCACATGTAGTCCAGTGGAAATGCCAAAGACAAAACCTCATCTGGGAGGTGAAGAAAGTGATGTTACAGGAAACAGACAAGACTTGTAGTAAGTACTTGTGGTCTGCAGTCAAATGGGTCCGGACTCACAGCGACTGGGCGAACCATCGAATGAAACACTATGTTGTTCTGACCGCAGGCACAGTGGTGGCCACGACCAAACAGTCAGGGCACAATGCTGGCACAGGGGCGCTTAGCTGCCGTTACTCGGGCAGGTGGAAGGGACTGGAATAGAACAGAAAACACCACTTTCCCGCTGCAGTATTGGAAGATACGGGGGGTGGGGTGGGGGGCGGTGATCACTTCTTTACAGCTTTGGAGTTGCACATACTTGGATGTGAATCCTCACTTGACCACTGAGCTGGATGAATTGGACTTCTGACTCATCTGTTCAGAGAAAAGGTGCCTCAGAGAGTTGGGAGAATTCAGGCAAAGCATATAAAGCGCTTCAGCAGCCAATGTCTGGCGCTAGCAGCCCTCTCTAGCCCTGAGAACTGTATCATTCTTTTTATTATTTCATCTTCTGGTCCCCAAAGCCTAAGACAGTGTCTGGAATCTCTTGGAGAATTGGATCAGGTCTGCTGATGGAATCATTGCATCAAAAATGGGCAGATAACAGATCTCCTTGAAATTTAAAGAGACAGTTTCCAATTAAAACCAAACGGCAACAGCCAGCTCGGACCTGTTTCCAACTAGACAAAAGGCCTGAACGGGGACTGTAGAGCAGGACAAGCAGACAAAAGAGGAAACAGGCCGAAAATTAAATCCTAAATTACGTCAAAAAGACCAACAGTGGTATCTTGAAACTTCTCCGGAAGAGTGAAAAGGGAAGCCCAACTCCTTATCACATCTACCTGGAGGCAATCAGAAAGCATAAAAAA